CCAGAAAACTGGAAGTGGTGCCGTGGCTCAAGTGGTAGAATGCTAGCCTTGAGCTGAAGAGCTGAGGGACAGCGCCCAGGCCCAGAGTTCAAGCCCCACGCCTGATTAAAAAAAAGGACAGCACCAACAATACAAAATGCTTACAAAGAAGCTGTTGTCTAGCCTTATAATGTTATTTTTCTTGTTAGTCAAGAGTAAGTAACTCCTGATTGCTGGGATTATAGGTATATAACACCAGGTGTGGTGTTTTTGTTTCTTTGAGACAGGATTTTCCTGTATACCCTAGGTTAGCCTTAGATTTGTGGGCTCAAGTCCTCTTTCTGCCTCAGCCTCCTAATCAGCTGGACTAAAGGTGGACTATCCTTCAGTTGGTTAAATGTATGTTGAACATCAGTGATATGCCAGCCCTTTGTTAATTGATGTTCAGGTTGTTTTCAGCTTAACTAAGGAAAGAATATGTACATATATGCAAGAGTAAGTGACTACAACTGTGATAGGGAATAGCACCGCATTCAATATATTATTGTTCCATTCAAATTTTTATTTTATTTATTTATTTTTTTTGGGGGGGTCTGGTAGTGGGGCCTGAACTCTGGGCTTGGGTGCTGTCCCTCAGCTCTTCAGCTCAAGGCTAGCACTCTACCACTTGAGCCACAGCGCCACTTCCGGCTTTTTTCTTTTTGCTTATGTGGTGCTGAGGAATCGAGCCCAGGGCCTCATGCTTGCAAGGCAAGCGCTCTACCACTGAACCACCTTCCCAGCCCCTATTCAAAATTTTTTTTTTTTTTTTTGTCGGTCGTGGGGCCTGAACTCTGGGCCTGGGCGCTGTCCCTCAGCTCTTCAGCTCAAGGCGAGCGCTCTACCACTTGAGCTACAGCGCCACTTCCGGTTTTCTGGTGGTTTATTGGAGATAGGAGTCTCACAGTCACCGCGATCCTCAGATCTCAGCCTCCTGAGTAGCTAGGATTACAGGCATGAGCCACCAGCGCCCGGCCCATTCAAATTTTTAAATGGGGCGGATAGCTAATTATCCAGCATCACGTGTATGTATAGGCAGTGAGTGCAAAAAGACAAAACAGAGCAAGAGATCAACAGAAAATGTTGCTGTTGTTGTTGTTGTTGTTTTGTGTGTATGTGTGTGTGTGGGAGAGAGAGAGAGAGTGTGTGTCCTGGAGCTTAAACTCAGGGCCTGGGCACTGTCCCCAAGCTGTTCTGCTCAAGACTAGCCCTGTATCACTCGAGCTCTACTTCCTGCATTTTGGGTGGCTAATTGGAGATAAGAGTTTCACAGACTTTTCTACTTGGGCTGGCTTTAAACCACAATCCTCAGATCTCAGCCTCTTGAGTAGCTAGGATTCCAGGCATGAGCCACTAACATCCAGCAACCAGGATAGTGGATCCTAGAAGACAAGCTTATTGAATAAAGGTTTATATTGCAACTTAGAGAAGTAGTAGTTGTTGAGTAGAAGATGGTTTCAAGGAAAGAGAAAAAGCTTGAAGTCAGCCGTGTATGCATTGTTGTTCTGGTGTTTAGTGAGAAAAAGTGTGTCTCCTGACAGTTTGAGGAAGGAGGAGGTCTGTACATGAAAGTAGTACAGGGCCAGAGTATTATGGAGTATAGAAAAAGCCAAAAAAAGAAGCTAAACCTATTGTTTCCATAAAAATAGATTTGTAAATGGTGGAACATATGTCTGAGATGATTTTATGGAAGTAAAAACTGGAAGAACACAATACGCAGTGGTGCAGTTTTATAGTAGAGAGGAAAAGGTAAGAAGTGAGAAGTGCTAATCTGAGAAAGTTCTAGTTCTAGTGGGGACTGGGCTCTAACTGTGCCACTTCCTAAATCTGTGACTGATCAAGTAAATGCAACTAACTCTGAAGATCACTGTGTCCTCATGTCAAATTGGGGAATTGGGATGGATGAGCTGATTCCCACCTCCCTAGTCTATGACACGCCTCATGCAATTGTGATGAAATAATTGACAAAACTTGATGACTCAATTAGATGTGAAAAGGGAAGCAGGCAAGTCAAGACAACTTCAGTATTTTGAGACTCACAGAGAAAAATGATGCTGTTAGCAAGAATGGGGAACTATCAACAAAGGGATAAGTTAAGAATTCCATGTTCCTTTGAAAATCAAGGAAAGGGGTTGGGCGCTAGTGTCTCATGCCTATAATCCAGCTACTTACAAAGCTGAGACCTAGAGGGTAAAGGTACAAAGGCAGCCTAGGCAGAAAAGTCTTTGAGACTCCATCTTCAGTTAACCAGACTGGAGGTGTGGCTCAAGTGGTTAGAAAGTCAGCTGTGGTGGTAAATAAGCTGTGAGTCAGAGCATGAAGAACTGAGACCCTGAGTTCAGGGTACAGACACATGCACACATGTGCATGTGCATGCACACACACAAATTTCAAAGGAAGAAATTCAGCAGATGAAGATAAAATGTATTTCCACTACCACTTGTTTCACCTAGGCTTACCTAGAAATTCTCTAGTTTCGTTGCATTAACCAAATATTGAACAAGATTGGCCAGTGGTTGTTTGTTGTTGTTATTTTAAATATTTAGCTAAATGCCTTCTTGTAAATACGTTCCTGTTTACTAGACTCATTCCTCAGCTTATGTGCTGATACTGGTGCTTTTAGCTTAGGTCCTGATGTCTACTCAGCTTGCTTGTTTATGGCTGGCACTCTACCATTTGAGCCACAACTTTAGCCTGGCTTTTTGCTCATTATTTTAGAATCTCATGGACTTTTCTCCATCAGCTAGTGTTAAACCATAATTCTCCAGATCACAACCTCTTGAATAGCTAGGATTACAGGTGTAAACCAACACTGCTTAGATAGGCTCATTTTTAGTCAAGGCTTTTTTTTTTGGTCAGTTGTGGGGCTTGAACTAGGGGCCTAGGTGCTATCCCTGAGAACTTTTTCTTTTCTTTTGTCTGTCGTGGGACCTGAACTCGGCCTGGGCACTGTCCCTCAGCTCTTCAGCTCAAGGCTAACGCTCTACCACTTGAGCCACGGTGTCACTTCTGGCTTGTTTTTCTTCTGCTTATGTGGTGCTAAGGAATCGAACCCAGGGCCTCATGCATGCAAAGCAAGCACTCTACCACTGAGCCACCTTCCCAGCCCCTGTCCCTGAGAACTCTTTTGCTCGAGGCTAGAAATCTACCACTTTAAGCCACAGCACTACTTCATTTTCTGGTGGTTAATTGGAGAGTAAGAAGCTCATGGCCTTTCCTGCCCTGGTTGGCTTTGAACTGCTATCATTAGATCTCAGCCTCCTGAATAGCTAGGATTACAGTCATGAGCCATTCATGCCCATCTTTTCAAAGATTTTTAATGGTGTGTTTGGCACCCATTTAAATGAGTTGGATGGCACTTATTAATGAATTCTAAATGAGCTAGATTCCAACATTATACTTCTAATAGTTTCTCTTGGGGACTTTACATTAAGTTACCACATAATTTTATTTATATGTGTATTCTGAAAGAGCTGAGTTAACAGAAAGAGATAAGATTGGTGGTTCCATGGGTGAGGCATAGTGAAGAATAGGGAGATATTGACCAAAGGGTAGAACTTCAGTTAGGATGAGTAAGTTCTAGAGCTCTGTAATATAGCATAGTGACTGTAGTTAATTGCTGAGGGAAGATGATAAATGTTCCCATCACACAAATAACTGGAAGATGATGGGTATGTTAATTTGCTTGATTGTGATTGTTGTTTCACAGTGTTATGTATATCATGTAAAACATGATTGCGATTTTATACATATACAATTGTACTTCTAGAGTTGGGAAGGTGTCTCAGTGGTAGAGCGCTTGCCTTGCATGCATGAGGCCCTGGGTTCGATTTCTCAGCACCACATAAGCAAAAAGAAAAAAGCCGCAAGTGGCGCTGTGGCTGAAGTGGTAGACGCTAGCCTTGAGCTGAATAGCTGAGGGACAGCACCCAGGCCCAGAGTTCAGGCACCACGACCGGACCCCAAAAAACCAAAAAAAAAACAAAAACAAAAAAAAAACAATTGTACTTCTATAATGCTGGAAAAATGGTAGTCAAAATTTCATTGTTAATGTTATCCTTTTTTTGCATGTTCAGAGTATAGATTGGAATGTTTTAATGCATGCTAAGCATGTATTCTACCATTGAACAATACTCCTACCCACTAATTTTTTAATTCTCCTATAAGTATTCAGAGGATAAAATTATCAGTGATTTAACACAAACAGCAATCACCTTTGGGAGTAAAATTTGGTATTTGAATTCTTAGAACTTGCTCATTTTAAATTTGAACATCTTAGTCAGGCACTGGTGACTCACACCTGTAATCCTAGCTACTCAATTCAGTGCCAGCCAGAAGGAAAGGCTGTGAGACTCATCTCCAATTAATCACCAGAAAACTGGAAGTGGTGCTGTGGCTCAAGGTGGTAGAGTGCTAACCTTGAGCAGAACAGCTCAGGGACAGCGCCCCAGATCCTGAGTTCAAGCCCACAGCCAACTAAAAAGAAAGAAAATAAATTTGAGCAGTTTGACTCATGTGTCTTTGTATCTGTGGCCATGCCTTTTTTTTTTTGGTCAGTTGTGGGGCTTGAACTCTGGGCCTGGGCACTGTCCCTTAGCTCTTCAGTTCAAGGCTAGCACTCTACCACTTGAGCCACAGCACCACTTCTGATTTTCTGGTGGTTTATTGGAGATAAGTCTCATAGACTTTCCTGCCTGGGCTGGCTTTGAACCATGATCCTCAGATCTTAGCCTCCTGAATAGCTAGATTACAGGCATGCCACCAGTGCCTGGCTGACATGCCTTTTTTATATCTTATTTTTCAAGGTAGCATCACTGCCTTCAAAGAATTATCATCTTATTTCTTTAGTTCTTAAGTACTTAAGTCTTACTAATTTGTTAACTAAGTAACTTGAGTTAATAGTAGATGAGCATTTGTACGCATTTCTTGAAATGGTTCAATTTAACTTACTAAATATATTTCTATTGCTATTTTATTTATAGAGTTCAAAGCATGCCTGTTTCTAAGGAAGTAAAGGTACACCTTTTAGAAAATGCAGGTGCTGAAAAGGATGCTGTTACCCAGGAGGCTAGAACTTCGCCCAGTGGAATTGATTCAGCTACGACTGTGGCTGCAGCCACTGCGGCGGCCATTGCAACAGCAGCTCCACTGATAAAGGTATGTCTCTCTCCTCAGAAACACCTGATGACATGTCTGCGAAGAACTGATACTGTAAATGACTGTGCCCACGTATAGACTGAGAATTTTTGTATTGGTTGTTGTGTGTTACTTCTCAGGACTTATGAAAATTACCCCCACTGTTGTGATGGCACTAGTGAATCTACAACTTGTAGCCCTGAAAGCCCACATCCAAGAAAACCCCTGGGTTCTGGACAGCCTCAGTAGTTCATTGATCCTTTTTTCAAGAATTGAAAACAGGGCCCTTGTCATGCTAGACAAGTTCTTCACCACTGAGCCACATCCTGAGTTCATTCATCCTTATTTGAGAGCTACTATGACTACTAGACAGAAGGAATAGAGATAAAAAGAGACAGAAGTAGGTTGGAGAAGACACAGATTTTAGAGCTAACAGGTGACAGAGCCAACATTGAAATTTACAGCTGCTGAGTTAACTTGTCTTACAGTGGGGAAAATCAAAAGCTACATTGTTTTACTTTTTCCTTTTCTTTGTCCATGTAAGTGTCCTTATCTTGGCATTGTAAAATTTTGTGTGGCAAATTTGGTCGGTCGGTCGGTCTGTCTGTCTGTCTGTCTATCTATCTATCTATCTTATCTATCTAGTGCTGGTCCTGGGGCAAGGGCTGGGTGCTGTCGCTGAGCACAATTTAGTGCTCAAAGCTAGTGTGCTTCCACTTTGAACTACAATGTTGTTTCCAGCTTTTTGGTGTTTAGAGGTAAGAGTTTCACAAACTTTCCTACTTGAGCTGGCTTTGAACTGTAATTCTCAGATCTCAGCCTCCTGAGTTGTTAGAATTACAGGTGTAAGCCACCAATGCCAAGTGGTATGTTTATTTTTTTATGAAAGAAACATAGGCCTAAAACCTGCTTTTTAGTTCTATGACTCTAAAAGCAAAGTCACCAGATCATCAGAGATTTAGTGGACAAAATTTTTAATTAGTTTCTTAATATTAATCGCTATAAATAACCTTTCTAGTAATTGACTATAATTTCTGTATTTTTCTATAAATATCATGGTGATACTTTTATTGTTTAAGGTACATAGTGATTTGGAAGCCAAAGTTAATTCTGTTACAGAATTACTTAATAAATTACAAGAGACTGATAAAAACTTGCAATGGGTTACGGAGCAGCAAACAAGCATTCAGAATAATCAAAACAAACTACACTGTCATGATCATGAAAAACAAATAAGTGTGCTAATGGAGCAGCACTTTAAGCAACTTGAAAAACTACAGCAACAACAAATAGATATTCAGGTAAATATATAAACAAGGTATGCATTCTATGATGTGCCTCTAGGTTAATATTCAGTAGTTATTGCAATGATTTATAGATTCTATCAGCTTAATTTCTTTTTTTTTTTGGTTGTGGGGCTTGAACTCTGGGCCTGAGCACTGTCCCTCAGTTCTTCAGCTCAAGGTGAGCACTCTACCACTTGAGCTACAGCACCACTTCTGGTTTTCTAGTGGTTTATTGGAGATGAGTTTCACAGACTTTCCTGCCCAAGCTGGCTTTGAACCATGATCCTCAGATCTCAGCCTCTTGAGTAGCTAGGATTACAGGTGTGAGCCACCGGCACCCGGCAGCTTAATTCCTTAAATTATGATTTCCTTGTTCATCATATGAAGACTGTTCCTCTATATGAAGACTGCATAGTCTAGTTCAAATATCACTAGTTCTGTGAGACCTCTCCAAAGAGATCTTTTCTTTCCTTTTTCAGTATTTTTGTTCATATCACTTGAGTTTATTTTTTACTTACTGTGGTTTGATTTTAGCTTTGCACTTGCTGGGCAGGTCTACCACTTGATCTATGATCTCAGCCTTTTGTGCTTCAGAAATTTTCTTTTTTGTCAGTTGTGGGACTTGAACTCAGGGCTTGGGCGCTATCCCTCAGCTCTTCTGCTAAGGCTAGCCCTCTACAACTTTGAGCCATAGTTTTACTTCCTGTTTTTTGGTGGTTTATTGGAGATTAGAGTCTCAGAGACTTTCCTGCCCAGGCTGACTTTGAACTGTGATTCTCAGATCTCAGCCTCCTGAGTAGCTGGGATTATAGGTATAAGCCACCAGTGCCCAGCTCAGAAATTTCCTTTTTGAAGCTGTGTTCAGCAATCAGAATTCTAAAATAAGCAATTGCAACCGTGACAACATTTTATCTTATTTTACTTTTGTTTTTAAAGAGCATGTAAAATGTTTTATTTTTTCTTAAAAGGGTTCAGGGTTTGGTTTTAATCAGGCTGCACATTCTCATCAGTCTGACATCTCTTCCCATGTCAGATCAGACTGGCTTCAGCTAGCAATACTTTATTAAATCCAAAACAACAACAAAAAGTTTTAATTTTGAGAGAAAGAAAATCCAGTTCTGAGGATATTAGTTTGTAATTTAAAACAAAATGAGGGCAAATGTTTCACGTTGCTTTATATACCCTTGTCTCACAGAACTAGGAATGTAACTCTTCTTAGGCAGGGACTGCCACTGATGGGCATAGTCAATAAAATTTACAGCATGTCAACTGAAAAGGTTTTTTGATGGTATTGATCAAAAATCTTAGAATCAACAGCCTTTATCTACACTTAAAAGGTATGCTGTTCTGACCTTGAGTATATTATCTATCAACATATTATAAACTAAGTAAATGATAAATATCCTATGGTCTTCTTGAGCAGGTAGTACTATTTATGAAAGTGCTAACCAAAACTATGAAAAATACATAAAATACTCCTATATATTTTTTCCTTCAATATCTGTGCAAGAACAATGGGGAAACTATTCCACATCTGGCACTCAGATCCATCAAGAAGACTTGAGCTACTTTGTGTGTGTGTGTCGGGGGAGGGGTGAGGAGGGGCTTAAATTTTGGGCCTGAGTGCTGACCCAGCACTAGCTCAAGGCTAGCACTCTACCACTTGAGCCACAGCACCATTTCCAGTTTTCTGGTGGTTAATTGGAGATAAAAGTCTCACATCTCACAAGCTGGCTTTGAACCGTGATCCTCAGTTCTCAGCCTCTAGGATTACATGAGCCACTGGCACCCAGCTTGACCATCCTAAGAATAGAAGCAGTGAATATTGTCTTCCATGACAATACTGACTAACTAAGCTTTAGAGTTACTGAAAGGCAGAAATCAAGTCTTTAGATGATATTCCTTTCCTAGAGCAAGCACAGAGCTCTCTTGATCACTGTTTATGCAAGGCCTTGCTTCAGAAAGATTTCCCCCCCAATAGGTTCTTTCTTTTTGCCTAGGTCAGCCAGTCTTCTTACTTATACTTCAATGTAGCTAGAATTATAGGTACATAACACCAGTTCAGCATTTTATTGTTTGAGATGGGGTTTCTCAATTTCTCATTCAGGCTGACTTCAAACTGTGATTCTCTCAATCTCAGCCTCCCAATTATATAGGATTGTAGGCGTGAGACTTCACTCCTGATTTGTCCATACCATTTTTATAGCAGTGATTTGTTTATATTGCCAGTTCTGGTAATACAGGCATCTTAGTTAATGTTAAATCTTAAACATTCAACTTATATAGAGGGATATTAACAGAACTATTGATATTTTTAGATTTTCTTCCTGTTCTTTTTTTTTTTGTTTTGCAGTACTAGGGTTTGAACTCAGGGCCTTGCACCTGCTCAGCAGGCAGTGTACCATTTGAGACACCCTCCTAGCTCTTTTTATTTTTCTGAGTCATTTTTTCTTTAACTGTCCTTGACCAAAATTCTCCTTTATGCTTCCCACATACCTGAGGGTATGCACCATCACACCAGGCTTTAGTGTTGTTGTCATTGTTGAGATGGGGTTTAGCTACCTCTTTCCCCTAGCTGGCCTGGAACTGTGATCTAAACACATCCTTCTAATGCCACCTGCTACACCTACAGTGATGGTTGCTATATAAGAATAGATTCTTATTGTTTATTAAATATATTTTTAAGTCTGCTAATCTCAATAGATTTTATCACCTGACTCAAACAGTATTTGAAATTAACAAAATAATTTTATATCTTCTAGACTCAACTTATTAGTGCTGCACTGAAGACCAATAATTTTCAGCCTGCTAGCCTGCCCCTCTCCAGAGCAATGGAAATGAGTTCCGTCATTCCAGAACATTCTCATGTTAGCAGCAGCAGTCTATCTTCACATAAGACCTTTGCTTCTAAACAAGGTAGAAATATTTACTTCGTCTTGAGTAGTAGCTAGGAATGTCCTTCATGCTATAAATATGAACACTAATGATTAGAAATTTACTTATACATGTCTTTGTTTTATAAAAGCAAATCTTTTCTCAGGTTGTTTGAGACTTGTTCAGACTATGGATCACATCCAAATTTATTGTTTAATTAATAGCTAGGATTACGAGCATGAACCTCCAATTCTTAGCTTCTTATTTATTTATTTATTTTAAAGGAGGATGAGTTTATTTTGGCTCGTGATTTTAGAAGTATCAGCCTGTTGTGGGGAGGGTATGATGGAGAAGAAAGGAAAGAAAAGGCCAACTTGAGTTTTAAAGAGGAACATGTCTTTTAGGTATTTGTATACTGAATTCATTTCTTCATTTGTATTACTTAATAAACATAAAGAAAACTAAGTATTTTAAAAATTCAACAGATTAGTAGGATATAGTGGGCTTACACTTTAATCCTAGCTAATTGGGAGACTGAAATTGGGAGAATTAAGGTTTGAGGCCAAGTAGGTCAAAAATTCACAAGACTGGGGCTGGAAAGGTGGCTCAGTGGTAGCGCTTGCCTTGCATGCCTGAGGCCCTGGGTTCGATTCCTCAGCACCACATAAGCAAAAAGAAAAAAGCTGGAAGTGGCGCTGTGGCTCAGGTGGTAGAACACTAGCCTTGAGCTGAAGAGCTGAGGGACAGCGCCCAGGCCCAGAGTTCAGGCCCCACGACCGGACCCCAAAAAAAAAAAATTCACAAGACCCTGTCTCAGCTAATAAAATACTGGGTGCAGTTCTGTGTACCTGTCATCCCTGTTACATAGGAGTCGAAAACAGAAATATCATGGTCCAGGCATGTGGGTCACAAAGTGAGAGTTTATTATTTTTTTTAATCATGAAGGTTTGGTCTGGGAATGTAGCTTAGCGGTAGAGTGCTTGCCTAGCATGCATGAAGCCCTGGGTTCAATTCCTCAGCACCACATAAACAGAAAAAGCCAGAAGTAGCACTGTGTCTCAAGTGGTAGAGTGCTAGCCTTGAGCAAAAGAAGCTCAGAGACAGTGCCCAGGCCCTGAGTTCAAACCCCAGGACTGGCAAAAATCATGAAGGCAGAAAGGGCTTGGAGGCATTGTCCCAGTGGTAGAGTGCCTGATGAGCAAGCTCAAGGCCATGAGTTCACATTCCCAGACTTAAAAAAAAGGAAAAAAGATCAACAAATTAACTTCTACTTTTTTATGCTTTTCTTGAGTACATATATTATAGATTTATAAATACAGCTTTGTACTTTATTAGTATTTCAAAGTATTTTCTATGTTGTCTGTAGTTATCTTTTTAACAGTAAATTTGTTTTTGGTGCTAGAGGTTGACCCTGGGAACTTGTGCATGCTAGCCAAGTAATCTACCACTGAGCTGCACCCCTATCCTATAATTTTAACTTTTAATGACTAAAAGAGTGATATGTTGAATAATTATTCCATAATTTTCTTAAACAGTTTCTTCTTGGACAGTTTTAGGGTTTTTTCTTTCTTAATAACATCATAAAAAATCAGTATCTTTAACATTTTTTCTCTTATATTACTTAGTGTAATTCTCAAGAATGATTAATAAATATTTCCAGATGGTTTATCAGTTTTCATTGCCATCAAAAATGTCTAACTAACAGAATTGAGTATTGCATTTCTTCTTGTATCTGACTTGAAGTATAAAGTATTTATAGTCTTCTTTCTTATTTCTAGTAATGATGAAGTTATTTCTACATATTTGGTTATTATTATTATTATTATTATTGTGATGCTGGTGTTTGAACTCAGACCTTGTGTTTTTGCTCAGCTCTTTTTGTTTCTCGGGTGTTCTGTTCATTGACCCATTCTTCTAGCCTAGCTTTTTAAAAAAATTAATTGTTATTATAGAGATGATATACAGAGAAATTACATGAGTCAAGTAATAAGTACATTTCCTTTGGTACAGTGTCTTCTGTTCCCTCATTTTCTCCCAGTCCCTCCCTCCTGTCTCTACCCATGAGTTGTATAGTTCACTTTCATTAATGTCCAGTTAGCTCCACTGCTGCACTTTGCTGCCTTTTTCCCCGTCAAGTTCTGTGCACTCTCCCTACACTCCAGAAGATATACATGTGAATACACCATATATAAGATAAAGTAGATAGAATCATCAAAAACTAAAAACAAAAAAGCGGACATCTCTTGTTTCCATATCTTGGAGTTCATTTCAGTATGTATATTATTTTATATAAATATAAAGAGAAACTTAGGCATTGCACCTTTGTGTTTCTCTCCTAAGAGTATCTGGTCTCACTGTGTGTGAATATCTACAATCCTGTATAATCTGTCATATCTCAGATCGAATTGGGCCTGGCTTTTTGCTGGTTGTTTTGAAGATGGAGTCTCTAGGACTTTTCTACCCAGGCTGGCCTTGAGCTTCGTTCCTCTGTGTCTCAACCTCACAAGTGCTAGGGTTACAGATGTGAACCAACAGAGCCTGGCTGGTTTTAATTTTAAAGATAAAAGAATTATATGTTATAATTTAAAGCTTAAAGAAATAATTTAAATATATTCTTTTTATTAGCATATGTTTGTTGTAGCTTCTCTTGTACTCTCCATATTCCTCTCTTCCTTTGTAAAACAATTTCAACAGGTTTAATTGTTCTACTTCTGTACATGCAAATAAACTAAATTGGCCATATTTAATCTTCAATCATCCTTGTTATTTTCTATTAAAGTACCTTTAAAGGAAGTTGAAGATAAGGGCGTTGAGGAACAGAAATCTCCTTTAGAAACACCAGCACCACGCAGGTTTGCTCCTATACCTGTGTCAAGGGATGAGGAGATATCCAAGAAAGAAAATCCTATGGAAGAAAAAGAAAATATGGCAATGTCAGGTTATAGAGGTAAGAAACCAAGTATGATTATCACCCAACTTTTACTGTAGCCATTCAGATTAGGGACGTTATCCTGAAATTTTTCTCACTCATGATTTAGAATTTTTTATGTGCCTAGTAAATTGGAATCTCTAACACACACACACACACACACACACACACACACACACACACACACACACACACACACACACACACACAGACACACACACTGGCAGTGCTAGTATTTGAACTCAGAGCCTTACACTTGCTTGGCTTCCTTGCTCAGCTGGTACTCTACCTCTTGAGCCATTTTCCCTGCTTTTGGTAGTTATTTTCGAGACAGAGCTTGGGCTAGCCTCGAACTTAGGTCCTTCTGATACAGCCTCATGAGAGACTTAGATTATAGGTCTGGGCCACTAGCCCCTAGCTTACTTTCTATATTTTTTTTAAAAAAGGTGCTTAGCAGTTAAATCGAGTTTCTTTATAGGAGTTGAAGTTGTACATTTTATAATTATTCTATCTCCTACAGGTTGTTACTTATACCTTTAATGAGCACGTTTTGATATTAATGAAATAGTGTTTTGCTGAAGCTAAGACAGATCGCTTTAGAACATGTTTCTTTATATTGATTGTAGGTGTGAATTTCAATAATCACATCACCATGTTCATCTGGAGAAAGTGCTAATATATGTACTTTTTAAATAGAGAACAAGAACTTTTATAACTGGCTTGAGATAATAATGTGCTACACAGAATCAGTGGAAAGTGGGTGAAAATATACAGCAGAGGGGGCCATCAGCTGCACTGGACATTGATGAAAGTAAATTAAGCAACTCAAGGGCAGTGATGAGAGGGAGAGAATGAGAAAGGGAACAGCTGATACTAAGCAAAAGGAAAGAAATGTACATATCACCCCATTTGTAAAAAATAGTTTTATTGTTAAAGGTCATACATAAGCAATGTAATCTATATAAGCAATGTAGATTAATATAATGATGACTATCATTGTGAAGATTAAGAGGTGTTTCTAACTTTAAATAAATAAATAGATACAATAATAATATGCCACAATTTAAATAAATAAATAGATACAATAATAATATGCCACAAAGCTTTAAATGTAGTCCTTCTAATAAGAGCATGTGAAAGTATTAAGCTGTAGGCCTTTATTCTTAGAATCATTTGAACACATTCAAGTGTTACCTTAGGTAAGCTTTAAGACTTTAGAAGATAGTCTTTAATAAAAAAACAAAATCAGGGGTTAGAGTGAGGTGGTAGAGTGAAAGCATCAAATCAGGAATTCAAGTCCCAGTCTTAGATAAAACAAAAAAAGAAAGCCACCAAAAACAATTGTTTTGTAGGCATATTAAAAACAAGACTTATGGGAAGGTCTAATTGTTGTTGTGAAGAAACATATACATCTTTTTTTTTTTCCTTGCAGAACTGGAGTTTGAATTTGGAGGTTTGGGGAGTCAGGTGTTCTGTTATAGTCATTATATTTGAAATAGGCTCTTGCTTCCTGCCTGGGTGAATGCCTGGGCTTCAGTCCTTTTTTTGGCTTCCCATTGTAGCTGGAATGTCAGGTGCATGCTACTGCACCTAGCTCTTGGTTGTGAAGGGGTCTCACAAGTTTTTCTGCCAGAGCTAACCACAAACTGTGATCCTCCAGATCTCAGCTTCCTGAGAAGCTAGGATTACAACCATTGATGCTCAGCTGTATCCTTTTTACCAACCTAAAAATAGTCCACTTTGCTGATCTTTGTGTTCATGAGATTTATGTTTATGATGGAGATAAATACAGACTTTATGCCCATATAATTCAAATTTTTTACAAATATAGTTTTATGAGATAAAAATTCTAAGATTTTTTTGTGGTGAGTATATAGTCTACATTTTTGTCTGAATCTGTTTTCAGATGCTATAATTGAATCCTATGAGTTGCATACTTTATAGTGAAATGCTTCTGAAAGTACAATAGCATGGGAATGGAATCCAGCCCCCTTCCTGCTGGGTCATGGCATGGGGAGAAAGCAAGCCAGCCAGAAACAGCTTCATTTTATAACCAGATCATTCCTTTGATAACCTATTAGTCCATAGCTAGATTAGCCCATAGATTATCCTAATTACCTTGTCACCTTCTGAAGGTCCCGTCTCTCATACTGCTAACAGGTGACTGAGGCTTAAGTATGGGGAACATAAACCATAGCAGTTCTCTGGTGAACTGGCTAACTTAGGCCAGAGGATAAAAAATGTAAGATGTTAAATGAAGCAGAAACAATATTATACTTTTATATTGCAGGACATGGAAGATTATTAGAACAAATATTGAATAATAATGATTTTTTGACAAGAAAAAGTGAATCATCAGAAAAGTCTTCACTAGGGTCAAGTTTGGCATGGACTCCTGAGAAAAGAAACAGGTAAAAACAAGTGATTAAAATGAAATCTATACTGGAAAGAGTTTTGTTTAAATTTCTTTCATTTTTTTAATCTGTTTTTTGGTGAGTGTGTGGGAGGGTGATATACCTTGTATTTGCTAAGCGAAGGTTTCTTGCTTTTTTTTTTTTTTTTGGCTTGGGTTTGCTTGATCCTCTTATAAGCATCTTGTATAACTAGGATTACAAGCATTTAGCTCCATGCCCAGAATTTTTTTTTGGGGGGGGTCCGGTCGTGGGGTTTGAACTCTGGGCCTGGGCGCTGTCCCTCAGCTCTTCAGCTCAAGGCTAGCGCTCTACCACTTGAGCCACAGCACCACTTCTGGCT